TTTTTTTTCCGTTTTTGCATTATTTTCATTTACAGTTCTCAAAGTTCGAAAAGCAGCGAGAATAGCATTAAAGAGGGAAGAAAGCTCCTGTAGTTTCTCTGTAAATTTGACATGTCCTGTCAAATGGAGCCGAAAAGGAATGATTAGTGCTCTTCCAGCCAAGATGGACTGTCCTCGCCTGGCATTTTCAACTTGATGTGGAACTGCTTGAGTGTCTGTTCCAGCTGCTGTTGATTTCCAGCATAGTATGCAGCGATGGCATTGTGGAACAGGATGAGCTGATTATGCAGAACTTTCACCTGAGACAACAGGAGCAAAAAAGCGACACAATTAGCTGAAAGTTAACACGTGGGCAGTGATATGTAGAGCGAGCTAGCATCTAACCAACCTTGTTCTCCTCCAGGAACTTCAGCTTAACGGAGACGTCGTTTCGCATCCTCTCGTATTTCTCGCGGTGGGTCTGGAACTGCTGCTGAGACACCTCGATCTTCGGCACGGTGTTGGCGTCACGCGGCCCCAGATTCAGCTCCTCCAGATCTGTACGGTATGCATCATACTCAACCCTAGGAGTGTTTAAATATATAAATCACATCAGAAAAACGTAAACTGCGTCAAGTGAATCAACAATAATTTTTGTACAAAAAAAAAAAAAATGTTTTACATTAGTGCATCGTAAATGTATTATTAAATATTGCCCTGATGTAAAAGCTGTCCTTGAGTCCGTTTGTCCGCAACCTCAACAACCTGAATCTCCGGCAGCAGCTTAAACACAATTCAATTTGTCCACAATTAAAACTGTCCATTTTAATTAAAATGGTAATTCATCAAATTAAACACAACAACTTATGTCTGAACTTTAGAGAAAGACGTTTCCGTGGGCGTCCAGCCAAAGCCTTGTGTCTCACAATTAAATAAAAGTCTGTTTGGTGCAGAAGTAGAACTAAGCCTGTGTGCACATTACCTTGCAGCTTCATACTGTTTGATATTGATCATGGTGTCTTCGATTGTTTTGTCCACGAGCGTGTTCACACTGGAGATGAAGAAGTTGATGGCAGCCAGCAGCGTCTCTCCGTTTTTGGACAACAGCTTTTGGGTTTCAGCGTTGTATCCAAACTCCTCCTGAAAAGAACAGGCACAATTATTTGTGTTTATTGCACCAAATTAAAATTTAAACACACGGGTTTAAGCTGTGACCTTCCACAAATTTAACTGACTAACACACAAACTTATTTTGAAAAATGCAGACTTAAGGCATCGTGAAAGTTCAATTAACTTAAAGTTCAGCATTACACAATGCAATAAAGAGCTCTGATTTCACTTTTTTCAAATGACCCCAAACCGCAGCCTCTAAAGATGAATTATCACCACCATAACTAAATACAACAAGCTTCACGCATTCACCAACTTAGGTTTCCACGCCGCCCACGCGGCGGTGCGGCAATAACCCTCAGCCTTTTAGGGCTGAGGGGTAAAAGCTACATTCAGCTGTGGCAAACTGCTGGCAAACAAACGACTTCTTTGCTATTGATTTCAACCAGTGACCGAAAGCAACCTGAAAAAAGAAGCACTGGTTTCAGTCGAGGGAATACACATTGTTCCCTAGCAACCAGTGTATCACATCCAATAATGGCGGACAACTCTTAACCTCCTAGGACCTGGCATCCACATATTTGGACACCACATTTTGGGTTATTTAGACCAAAATACTCAATTTTGCTCTACAAG